GTCTGTAATGGCCAACTAAGTAAGTAAGTAGATTACAAAATTATAGATCCTATGAGTCTTATGATCTTATAATGCTCGGGTATTAATGCTCGGGTCTTGATTTGTTTGCCGTAAGTTACCGAAGTTATTGATTCCTTGTAAATACAACTGTAAATTAAATTTGGTTTTAAAATAAACGTTTTTTCATATCACACCTATTCTGAATCACATGGGAATGGGAGTTTTTTACCTTTTCCTAGTTCCACTATTCTGAATCATAAGGGAATGGGAGTTTTGTTCCCTTTTCCTAATTCTCTTATTCTGAATCAAGTGGGAATGGGATTTTTTCCCATTATCCGAATTTTCCGAATTTTGTTAACTACTCCTTAAGTAATAGACCTTTTTTAAAAATATTATGTTATGTTGGTACACTCTTTCTTGACATATGGTACAAATTTGAGCGCCATCTGTCAATTAGTTTGTTTACAGCAGCTGTTAGTGTGAGACTACCTCAAGTGGATTTAGCGATTTTTACTATGGAAAATTCTTGTTGTACGCGATTTTTTGATCAAACACGGCACCACTGTCATCGCTCAGGCGCCATATTCGCCAGATCTGGCGCCGTGCAACTTTTTCCTGTTCTCGAAACTCAAATTGCCTCTTCGTGGTAAGCGTTTTGAGTCGATTGAATCGGTAAAAGAGAAGTCGCGAAAGGAACTAAAACCCATACCTTCACTGGCCTACGAAAAGTGTATGGAAGATTGAGTTAAGCGTTGGCATATGTGTATCGCTTCAGAAGGAGCATATTTTAAAGGAGATAAAATAAATTTGGAATAAAATTTAAATTTGTGTGTTTTATTCACAAAATCCGAGTACTTTTTGAGCAGAAAGTAGAATAATGAAAGGAACCCAAATTCTAGAATGAATGAGATTCCTTGAATAAGTTTAATATCATCTTTTGTAATTAAGCGCAGATAAAACATTTTTTATTGTTATATCTGCGCCATGATGAACTATTATTATAGTTTATTAATTGAAGGAAATTTATCCTAATTATAAAAATAACTATCAACCTTAGAAATAGAGGAACTCAAACTTCAGTTAAAACATTAATAATTCCAATTATTAAATAAGTTATTTTACTTTGTTTTATTGTTTATAAGAAAAAAATAAATTATGTACATATTTAAAAATTGAAATTAATAATTAAAATACAAAATAAAATTTTTTTATTATTTACTTATAAAATATTCATTATATTTATTTCTGATATTTTGTGCTGCAGATTTTTAAATTTAAATCAACATATAATACTTTCTTTTTTGTCTTACTCATTTTCGCAATTTTCGCCATTAAAAAGTGCAAGTGCTGCCAAAGCCCAACAAAACAAATTTGAAATTTCTGTTATTCCCAAAACAGCTGTCTCCCAAGCAATTCACAATAAAGGAATTATGTTCGAAAGAATAGCGCATATTCCCTGGGAATATTCAGAATAGGTGTGATTATAAACCAATTTTTAAATTAAATAAAAACTGAATTTTTGCAGATTCGTGGTAATGAACAAAAAATTTGTTATGTTGATGCTTCCCATTCTGGTGCCTGCCATGACGTATTTATTTGGAACACAAGCGATCTGCGAAAGTACTTCGAACAGGAGTATTTGCGAGGTGTGGCTAGCTTTTTGCTGTTAGGTGAAATTTATTCAATGTAACAAGAATTAAAAGTCAAATATAAAAATACATTTTGTTTAACTAAAAGATGCAGGATATTCTTTACAGTCATATGACTCTTGATACCTTTAGAATCCCGCAAGAAAGCTCACAACAAATGAAATTAAATAAGATTCATTTAAATTGCGGAAATGTTATTGAACGTACTAATGGGGTGCTGAAAAACAAATGGATATATCATCTTGGTGTTAGAGAGCTGCATTACACTCCAGAAAAGGCAGCGAAAATTATAAATGTTTGTTGTGCGATACACAATACAAGTCTTCATTGCAAAGCCAACATAGCATCCCTTGATATTGATTGTCGCAGTACTAATGAAGATGTTTTTTCTGAATTATCATCGCATTATTTATCTGCAGCACAAAACATTAGAAATAATATAATGAATAGCTCATAAGTAAATAATTTAAAACTTTTATTTTATTTATTTTAATCATATTTTTTAAACATGTAAATTTATTTTTTTCTTAAAAAAAGCAATTAATCTTATTTAACATATTAATTAGAATTATTAATGTTCTGAAATTTGAGTTCCTCTATTTTTAAAAGTCGTCGATCTTTCTCAATTTGGTTCTCAATTTCTTGTAACTTTAATTTCTCCATACATAAGTTATGTCGCTTTTGTTCCAACAATTCTAGCTGTTTCAGTGTTTCCATTTTCTGGAAGTGTTTGCTTTGAAGGTCGTGCAGTTTTTCAATAGAACGGTATATCTTTTTCGCGTTTTGTGCGTTTTCTTTACTGTATTTCATTACAATTTCAATGGTGTCGCATGTTTCTATTTGTACATCAAATTCTTCTTTTGAAGTATTTGTAGCAATATCTCTATTGTTTGCTGATCCTTGGGTGAAAGTAAGTGGATGAGCTGCTGTTTTGGTCAAACCTTTAGAAAAAGGAGCTTCTTCACTTTGGAAGTGCTCTCCTTCTGTTTCAGTTGAATGTGTCGTAGAGCATTGCGGCGGAAAAATTGTAGGTACTTCTGTTAAATGCAATCCAAATTTTTTTATTGGCAAACCTTCAACAGCTTCTTTCAGTCCAATCAGATTATAAATTCCTTCTTCAACATCGGAAAATTTATGTTCTATATTTGGACCTTCTCCTATTCCCTTTCTGATTTTTAAATTGTCAACTGCTTTCTTTTTTACGTATTTCTTCTGATCAACCCACACCTTTTTCCACTCGGACATATTTTTTATTGGCGGTCCTACTGAGTTCAGCTCTATTGTCGCGTTGCTCCAAAACCTAGCAACATCTTTTTTGCTTTTCTTATGGAAACTGCGAGCAATATCTGGATTATATTCCATTAACTGCAGCAGTATTTGCAATTGCATTTTATTTGTCTTTTTAGCCGCCCTGTGTAAATATCACATTTAAATATATTGGAAAAACTAATTATTATTGGTTACCTTCAAATTAAATTAAATTATTTTTTAACTCGTTTTTAACTAATTAAAAAACAACCTTATGCTATCATAACAAATCTTTAATCTATTTATTTTCTTTTAAACATGCACTGCTTTTATATATTAAATTTATTATAATAATTTTATAATAAAAATTATTTTATTAAAATAAATTCGAAAATTCGATCATTATTAATTACTTATATATTAAATTAAACTCTTTTTAACTCTTTTTTAACTTATCTCTCACACAATTTGCTTGGGAAAAATGTTGTGCAAAATAGGGAAAGAACTCCCATTCCCATTAAATTCAGAATAAGGGAATTGGGAATAGGGAAAAAAACTCCCAATCCTATTTGATTGAGAATAGGGGAACTGAGAAAAGCTTAAAAGAAAAACTCCCATTACCATTTGATTCAGAATAGGGATGATAAACTACCCCTAAAACAAAACAAAGTCTATAAGTCACGGCTAAGCAACTGAAATGTCAGAACCCTTACCTATGTGTCTCTACCCAACTGACAATAGTCCGAGTTACGATGTCTATCATCATGAAGAAAATAATTTTTCATAGCATTTTTCATATTTATCATTAAATTCAGATATTTCATAGATTTTATTTTTCAGAGTGCTGCATTTCAGATCAACAATTATATGTAGTATTAGAATTTTACGCAACTAATGTATTTAGTTTTTTTTGTTATTATCAATTTACAAATGTTTATAATATATAGATAATTCATAATGCTAAAAATTTAAGTATATTCTGAAATGGTGAGTGTATTATGAATTTAAATTTGTAAAGTTTCGTGTTCCATCTTTAATAACCCAAAATATTACAAAGATTGGTAACACTATATTATTTCAAATAGTTTACATTGTTAGGGTATACCATGATTATGAAAGCACTGAGTAAGAAAATGAGCGAAACTTAATGCGGTATGTTGATTTGTTACACATAATATCCGCTTTTACAACTTCTTATTTATATAAAACTAAAAAAATCTTTCTCTGCTAAAGTGGAACCGTTAACGTATATGTATCTTGCTTGATAAAAATTAATATTATTGTAAACATAACAGAACAGTATTATCGATTTCTGATAGCACACAATTGTAATATGTACGAGTTACATATCAATTTAAAAATATATTGATATTTACCGAATAACATAGTAACTGTGCAAAGAGGTAATAGCAAAATATTTACTCGAAATACCACTTTACACTTGTATTATTCACAATTTCGAATAACGAGTTCGAAGTGGCTGTTACCACATTATCCGGTTCCTCAGATCGTTACTCGAGATCGTGATTATCACTTATTCTTTATCTTAGGAATTTTTCACTTACCTTCGGTTTATATCATCCGATTTGTTTTCTTCCTCTTGTGTTAAAAGCACATCATCTGAATCAGTATCTTCCATCTTTATGTTATTATACTCCACTGTTATATCCTTTTCTTCTTCACCAAACTCTTCGTCTGCTGATACTAGTTTATGATCGGAAAGGTTTTCAATTTTAATAGTTTGCTCACTTAGTCTTGGATCATCAACCATATCATCCATTGTTTTCAATTTCTTAGCACTTCTTTCTTGCAAAGCTTTTAAATTTTCTTCTTCCTCGTCTGTTTGATCGTCAAAAGAAAGTAAACTAAAATTTCTAGAAATATTGAAAAAAGAAAAATAATTAAATAAATATTATATAAATATTATAAATCTTAACTATTGAAGTCTACTATATATATAACTTAATCTAGAGACCAAAGATTTTAAATATCTATGTATAAATAGTTTTATATAACTGTAAGATTATTATAATATAATAGTAATTCTAAAAAAATAGAAAAATAATTAAATAAATATAATAAATCATAACTAATGAAATCTACTATATATATAATTTAATATAGAGACCAAAGATTTTAAATGATACCTATGTAAAAAAAGTTTTATATAATTGTAATAATATTATAATGTAAAAGTAATTATATAAAAATAGAAAAATAATTAAATAAATATTATAAATCTTAACTATTGAAATATATTATATATATAACTCAATATAGAGATCAAACATTTTAAATGATATCTATGTATAAATAGTTTTTATGACATATATAGATAACTGAGAATTGTATAAGACAAGATATAAGTCAAAATGTAATGTATTTTATCATAAATAGGACTTTTAATGAAAATTATTATGAAAAGTAGAAATCACTAAACAGAACTAATTTTGTTGTTCAACAACAACAAACCGAACTAATAATATAGGTGATTTAAGGAAGCATTTTAATATGAAGCAGATATTAGAGAAGCGAAGGGCACATATTAATAACTAGTCTTTAAAATAAAAATTATACTAAAAATTTTTAAGAAAAAAAAGCAACAAAAAGTTGTCTAAATTTATATTTAAGTACATACCTATATATTTATCGTTCGAACAAATTTAAAGTAAAACTGTAAAAATAAAAATTATATTTGCTACAAATTATAATTTTCAAAAATAATTATTATTATGTGCCTTTTACTTTTCCACGCACAAATAACTCATACACTCTGCTACTTTTTTTAAAATAAATTATTATTTTTGTCTTACAAATATAAAACTCAAAAATCACAATTATTTTTTAAAGCAAAATATAACTGACGGGCGTTTTATTTTTAAAAACAGAAAAATAAGAAACTTTTTTGTGTTTTGTTGTTTTTTTTTTACAAAAACAACTATTTTACACGCAAAAGCGTTTTAAAATGGTTGATTTTAATTTTTTTAACAATAAAACAATAATTATAAATAATGTCCCTGTTAACAACAATAAAACATAGATATGATCAAACTTATTTAATGATCAAAATAATTAATTATTTTATAAAAAATAAAAAAATTATTTAATAAAATTAAATACTTTATGTTGTAGACCACGGCTATCCAAAGCACGATTCACGGGCTACATGCAGCCAGCGGCTAGTGTTTGTGCTAGCCGCTGGGTAGATTAGAAACATGACGCGGACCGCATGTCACTAATGGGCCTTGCTTTGGACAGTCCTGTTCTAGAGGATCTAGGTTAGTTGAAAGACTTTTCGTTTTAAACTATTTAAGTTTTGTACAGCAATAAGTTAGAAGACCCTAATGGATCTCTATGTTAACAGTGATAAACTAACATACTCTGTAGTTAAATATGCGGATTTTTGAAGACATCTTCTGAATTTACTTACCAAATAAATGAATATATGTGGCAATAACTAGAAAATGTAACTTATTCTAAAAATCAAAAGAAACTTTTTAGTATTCTTAACTATCAATTTAAAAAGTTATACAATGTTTTAAAATAAATAATTGTGATTAAGAAATATATATCATATGACAAGAAATCTATTTTAATTAAAAAAGGAGGATAATAGTAATAAAACTTTCAAATCTAAAAAAACAATTTAATTAAGTAAATTCTTGGGCTGACCATGAAACTATTCCGGTTATCGGAATTATTCATCAATGAATTTTTAAATAATCTGATTTAAAATCTATAATCTGTAAAAAGAGTATTTAGACAGCAAGTCAGGAATATAACCGTAGACCCTTATGTTAATACAAAAAATCAATAAATAATGATTGTTATAAATAAATAAAAAGTTGCAATACTTATAAAAAATATAAATCGAGTATCAAACTTACTCCACTCTTTTTTCATGTTTTATCGTCATTTGTTTATTTTCAACCTCCTCTCTAGACACATTTGGTAAAATCTCATCAAATGGGTTACTTATTACTTCAGTACGTATAATTTTTTGTAAATTTATAGGCCGTTTATTTTGATCTAACGCACCAACTTCCAGTCTTAACATATTAAATATTGTATCATCGGTTACTTTGCCAAATAGTGTATTTTTATTTTGTAAATCGGGTGTAGCAGCCAATGTAAAAAAAAATTGCGAACCATTATCATTCTTTCCGTAATTGAGCATACCGACTAGCCCGCGCCTCGTATAACGCAAACGTCTGTGAAATTCATCTTCAAATGGTTCGCCATAAATGGATTGCCCACCCGATCCATCGCCATTTGGGTCACCACCATGTACTACAAAACCTTTAATAACACGATGAAATATGGTATTATCGTAATATCCTTCGGTGCATAATTGCATAAAATTTTGACATGTTTTTGGGCATTCTTTTGTCCATAATTCAATATCTATATCTCCAACTGTTGTTTTTAGTGAAACCTAGTGGACATATGTACATGAATCTATTTTTGGATATCTACTGTACTAAATAGTTGCACTTACTTTAGCGGATGTTGGTGGTTCTACCGTATATATTTTACTCATTTTAATTTGGCATTATATTCCTTACATAAATAAAAATAAATTTTTACTGGTAAACAAATACCTGAATTCGCGTTGTTTTTTGAAACGTCAAATATCTTCAACTAAATAGGTTGCATTTGCGATTTTTAGTAAATGCTCGTATCATAAGTTCTCATTATTAAGGTGACCATCTTGACTCTTTGCCTCTTATAGCAAATTTTAATTTCATAAAAATTTTAATTTTGTTTTCGCTTCAGAGAAATTAGATTGTGTTTTCCATAAAAAAAAAATTCAGTTTCAATTAACACATTTTTGGGGTTCATATAATAATATATAATTTTGCTGGGGTATTCTTAACCCTCGTTAAGGGTCGTACAACAAAATTTATATTCGCTGGGACAGTTTTTAACCGAATGAGCCAGGTTAAAAAAAAAATATTAATCTGGCCAAATGAGTCAGGTTCTTAATACTTTGGCTTAATGAACCACCAGGCTAAATAAACCACCGTACTTGCTACTTTCAAAGCGAAATTTGAAATCCTCGGTCATATCAAATGCGCGTCCTTTTATACAAAATATGCCAGAGCTTTGATCTTTTTGCTGTAACCTTTTTTGTGCTAGTTGTGTGCTTTTTGGGTTTTTTCCGTGTACTTTGTGTTTTGTTCATCAAAAGCTTTCATGCTTTGTTGTTTGTAAATATTTGTTACATTTACGCATTTATTTTTATTTTAAATTTAATAAAATTTTTTTAGATAAATAAAATTAGGTTATTAAAGAAATTAAAATTTTAATAATAATTTTTGTAAAATTATTTAATTATTAATATTTTCAATAAAATTATTTTCAATTAGTGAAAATAAGTATTAATGAATTCCGGTGCACATTTATGTAGGCGGAAATTTGGTGTAAAAAATTCCGTCCTTACAGAGATTAGAACGAAATTAAGGAAAATGGTTTTAATTTCGTTGAATCAGGGCTGAAATTAAACGAAAATTCAAATGTGAAAGATAAATTTTATGCAAAAGATAAGTTGAGATAACGAAAAAGTGATATTTATTTTTAAAAACAGCTGATTATTTTTAAAAAAATTTGAATATAAAGAAAAAACTGTAACTATTATTAATTTAAAATAGAGTGAAAAACACAAATGGTGTTTTGAGCATATAATTTTTGAAATTCGATTTGTAAACAAAAAACAAATGATTTCCTTAATATGGGTCAGTATGAACATTTTTCAAATTAACTTTATTTTCATATTAATGAAATTAAGGAAATTTGGCTGTCTAAACATAGTATTAAGACGAAAAATGTCGAATGCAAAATATGTAACGCAAATAGTTCTCAGCAGCTCTAACCACTCACATTTGAATATGTATGCAACTACATACATTTGATTTATGCGTACGAACATGCAAGACAAAATTGGCATGCAGTGTAACCGCAACCTAAATGAGATAATCTGAATATACTTTAACTGTAAAGTGTTTGATATTAGCCACTAAAGTAATATTTAATATTCAAACGTATTTCATTATAGTTTAAAATCGACACTTAAGTGTATATCTATATGTAAATGTAGATCTATTTTATATAGATAATCATGGTCACATTATATTATAACTTAATATTGCGTTTACATTGTGAGATTAAAATTAGATAAAAGCAATCATCGAGATGAAAGTACTAATCTAATTGTGTAATCGTATATTTTCCATATAAAAGTTAGTCCCATTTTGGTCGAGATCTTTTTTACGATTTTAGAAGAATTGAAAAAAAATGTCAAAATCTATTTAGAACAAACATTGAAAATTTGAAAATGCCGAAGTAATGTAAACGGTGTAGATTAAAAATGAAGATTAACTTGTTCTCTTAATCTCATTATGTAAACGTAGTAATATATATAATACTAATTTTGCCAACTAGTGTTGATAAGTAATAAATGTCAGAATTAGCGCCTTCAGGAGTAAGTATGTGATATGCTTATGCATAGTTAGCGAACTTTACTAAAATTAACTATCATGTATAATAATGAATACACATGTGTTTAAAAATTTTGGTTAAAATTACAGTACTGACAACAGCCATATGAAGAAATTTTGCGTTGCTGTCGAAGTAAACATCGAGTTTTTAAGTCATTTTAGAACACTGCATATACATGTCAAACTCTTTATAAGGTTATTTAAAAATCAACAACAGAAGCGGTCTGTTCTGGTCTCAAGCTATTTTGTATAATTTTGACGAAATAAATAAATAAAAGATGGCTGAAGAAGTAACTGAAGGTGTAGAACATGTTTTGGAGCCTGATTCAGAGTTGCGTTTGGAAATAGAAGATAAAAATGCCAAAGTTTATGTGACGGTATAAAACGTACTTGTAATTTCTTTAAAATATAACAATTTAATTATTTTATAGCTACTGTCGGGTTTCGCTGAAATGTTTGGCACGGAACTCGTGAAAAAGAAAAAGTACGAAATACGTGGTGGTGGCGCCTTTTTCACTTACCAAGGCTGTGTATTGAATGTTGTTGGAAAAACTGATGTTAGTTATATTTCAAAGGAAACACCTATGGTGCAATATCTAAACTGTCACGGCGCATTGGAAAATATGAGTGTAATTGCAGAGGACAAGGATGAACGTGGACCCGTTTGTATGGTAGCTGGACCCATGGATGTTGGCAAAAGTACTTTATGTCGCATATTATTAAATTATGCCGTACGTCGTGGACGTCGTCCATTATATGTTGACACAGATGTAGGTCAAGGCTCAGTGTCTATTCCCGGTTCAATTGCTACAATACTAATTGAAAGGCCAGCTAGTATTGAAGAAGGTTTCTCACAAACTGCACCACTCGTTTATCATTTTGGGCATAATTCACCAAGTGGCAATGGTGTGTTGTATAAAACAATAATTACCAAAATGGCGCGAGCGACTTTGGGTTTACTGAATGATAACAAACGTAGTAAGTTTGAATTATTGTATTATCTCTTTTCTTTGTTGTAATTTTTACATACTAATATTTGCATATTTTTTTTAGCTAAGTATTCTGGTGTAGTAATTAATACTTGCGGTTGGGTTAAAGGTGGTGGGTACCTCAATCTCTTGCATATAGCTCAGGCGTATAATGTAGACGCTATATTTGTGCTTGATCAAGAACGTTTGTATAACGAATTGTTGCGTGATGTCCCATCAAATATACGTGTTGTACTTTTACCTAAAAGTGGTGGTGTTGTAGAACGAAGTAGGGATTTACGAAATGAAAGTAGAGATGGTCGTATTAAGGAATATTTTTATGGAAATCGTACCCCACTGTATCCGTTTTCATTTGAAGTTAAATTTCAAGATTTGAAGCTATACAAAATTGGTGCGCCACCATTGCCGGATTCATGTATGCCAATCGGAATGAAGGTATGTATACTTTTTAATATCTCGAATTATTAAAAATGTGTTGTATCAATAGTTTTAAAAAATATTAATTAAAAAATAATTACTTTTATAACCATAAAAATAAAGCATGAAATGGGTTTTCTCATATATTAAAGTAAATGGGGTCGCAGAGTTGTAATAATATACATTCTCAGCACCAAAAATAATTGCAATTCCAGCAGTGTTTGAGTCTTTCTTTTGAACCTATAAATGGATAAAGGCCAAGTGTTACCCACTATAAACGTTAGAATTATAGGGATATGTTAAAATTAATTTGGAAATTAACACAAATACTAAGCGATAATGTTTTGAAACTACTGCAATTAATAATTGATTTCATATAGTTGTGATCCGCATGGTTATGATTATATAAAACCTTTTGGGTGTGACGAATGCACTTGGTTGTCGAATTCGATGAGTAGCTCCCGGACGCACACTTATATTTTTGATATTTTTAAATATCAACTATACATACATGATCTGAATTTTTAAAAATCAAATTTTAGTAAAATTAAAATGGTAGTAATCTTACACTTGATATAAGTACATACATATGCATAAACTACATTTTTAAATATTATATATTTATCATATTTATGAATAAAGACTATTCATAATTTTAAAAATATTTTTTATTTCAGGCAGAAGATAATAAAACCAAACTAGTAGCTGTAACACCAAGTTATGGTTTACTACATCATATTTTAGCTGTGAGCTTTGCTGAATCAGTCGAAGACGATGTTATTGGGTCTAACTTAGCAGGATTTGTCTGCGTGTATGTACTCCTTGATATGTAAAAATTACAAAATAATTTTTTTACTTATTTATAAAATATAGAACTGATGTGGATATAGAACGACAAAGTCTAATGATTCTTTCCCCGCAACCACGTCCACTACCAAATACAATTTTATTATTGTCAGAGGAGCAGTTCATGGATAGCCATGCATAGCTGAAACTCAATGAATCTTTGGCAGCTTAATAATACGCAGATTAACACTCTAACCTAAGACAATTTAACAAAAAAAAAAACTTAATTTAACAAAAAAAAAATATCAATTTAACGAAAAAAAAACAATTGCTTTAAAAAATCAAACACAACTTAAATAAAAATCTGTAAATCCAATATCGATTTTAAAGACAAATTATATTTACACAAAAATGTTTTATAATATTTATATATAATAAGTTTTAAAATTGAATAAAATTATTTATTGAAATTCTTGCTTTATGTAGTACTTGGTTTCTGTACTTTTGCTAGCTCAGACTTAAATTTAGCTATAGTTTCACGTGCCAGTTTCAATTTATCCTTTAGACTGCTTATTTCGTTTTTAACCTTAATTTTAACTTTCATTGTGTTTTCATATGTCTGCTCTTTCTTCTTTTCAACTGAAATTTAAATAATTATTTTATAATTTTTTTATACAAATATTATTTATTTACTTACAATCTGTGTCATGCACATATTGGCCACTGGTTATTGGTTGTACATTCATAAGTAAATGCTGCATTAATTGGGTTGGCTCTTGAAATACAATCTCTTCATAGCATTCTGATACTAAACCTTTTTTCGGATCCAAAATGGTTGTTGGAAAATCATTTCCGGTCGATGGTGATTGAAAAAGTTTGAGTATATGATAACAAGTAACTGGACGCTCAGTTGGATCATGAAAATATATTTTGATTACAACCTCAAATTCTCCCCAACCGGTTTCTGTGATTTCGTAAGGATATTTTGTGACAATGCGATTGGGATTTGAATAACTTTCATGTAATTTAAAATGCACTTTTTTTACATAAACACTCATGTCTTCATTGTAATACGGCTTAACATACACTTTCCACTGATGTGTATGGCCATCATCCTCACGCTTCTTGCCAAAGGAGCGCGCTATGTTGCCGTAAACAATTGGTTTGACAATTGTCAGTCCTTTAACGCGTCCACCAGAATCCGGGCCAAAATCAGTTGGTATATTTAAACTATTCATGCTTTAACTGTTCAA